TAAGTCCATGTACAGACCCTGTATGTGACAACCACATGGGTGTGTGTGTGTGTGTGTATGTTCTCCTCAACTTCTCTCAGGGTTACATCTGCACCCTTGTGCTCCTCAATCAACTCTAATGGATCCTTTGGCTCAGACTCAGCTGAGGCACTGACTGTGATACTAAACACATGCACACTTTTGTTTTCAGTCCTTGTGGAGACTTTCTTTCATTTTCTTGAGATTTACCCTAACCCTTAACCATAACCACTACTGGCCTAACCCTAATCTGAAGCCTAGTCTTTACTTGTCACCCTAAAATTAAATGGTTTACATGGCGGGGACCTGCATCAAACCATCCTCACAATGTGAGTCCCTAGAGTGTGAGTAATACCAAGCACACACACACACACACACACAGGACAAGACAGGGCGGGGCTAGAGGCAGATTTGCATTGTAATGAGTTAAGTGGTTCGATGACCCTCCTAACATTTTCCTCCTGTCTTTGCCCTGTGTTTCTTCTGTTGTGCTCTACCATATCTGTCCCTCAAGCTGCACCTCCTGCAGTCAGTTTAATAGAACTGCCACTAATTATACCCAACATTAAATTATGTGAAATTTAACCATATCTTCAATATGTATGACATACTAAAATTATTTTGAGCAGAAAAATCTCATCTTTCCTTTTGTGTTCATGTGTCACCCATCCCCCAACCATTACCCTCACCAGGGCCCTTGTGTGGGCATGTGTACAGGCTATGTGAGTGGTTCACATGGGTCCTATCCTCCATCCCTTGGCATCTTCACTTATCAAGTGAACAGGTCCCCTGGGGCTAATGTGTGCTTTTGTATTTGTGTGTATGTACATGTGTGTTGCTGCTACATTATTCTCCTCACTGACTTTCTGTGGAATGAAAAATAACCTCTCCATCCAGTATGCCTCTCCCTGTCTTTAGACAAGAGCTAGGCTAAGGGGAAGATGTGTAAACCAGGGCAGATCTCGTACTAAGAAAGACACACAAGTTGGAATATAGAAAGATAAAGATAGTGCTATTACATATTATTTTACAGTTGTTTTGGCTCCATTTTCAGACTTTAAAATGTAAAAACTCAACTCAGAATATTATACTACTAAATTTCCCCATAGCACCTCACATAGCACACAAAATGAAAACATCTGTACTAAATTAGGAATTATCAGACAGTAGTTTATCTAAAACCCAGTAATTAAGGTTTTAGTTAGCTACAGCAAACCACAATATTTTGACAAAAATCAAAAGAAAAAAAACTGCATTTCCTTTATTTTTCAGCACTGTCACACATCTGAACTGTGATACAGTCATTAGCAGTTATGCTGCAATGTTACTCACCAGGGAATTGTTCATTATGTTCACTCACTGGACTGAACATAATGATTTAGTGTTTTGCACTTTCTATGTAAGCACAGCATTTTGTATTTAATGGTAAGAATGGTAAAGGTAATGGTAAGAATTTGACGTGCGAGAAGCTTGCACATTTTAATTAATGGAGCCAAATTAATTGCAAAACATTTAACAAAATAAACTGTGTATGTTTGGAGAAATATACAAAAGACTTAACATAAAAACCAAGCAAGCCTGAAAAAAATTACTGTTGCTTATGCACTTCAACTTCACATGAGAGACCTTTGTGTGTGTGTGTGTGTGTGTGTGTGTGTGTGTATGTATATACAGTATATATAAATTATTGTTCCCTCCAACACTGACTCTCCATATGGTACAGCCCCAGTGGAACAACTGGATTCTCACTGACCCATTGGAGCTGTCAGCTTTCTACCATTTGTAAAATTTAGTGTCAGAGGATCTGAGTGACTGTTAGACTCACAGCACTAATTCTGTATCAGGGAAGCTGATTCATGGCCCCGGCTCATTAAGAATCAGCGAGTTTGCTGATTGCAGAGCAGTCATCTCATTCCTGTGGAGAGCCCCAGACTGTCTACCTGCAGCCGGACTGAGTGGAACAAAGCTGGATCTATAATTAGGTTCTCATGGCTGATTTGATTAGAGTAGCCGGTACATTCATTTTGCTGGAGGTGCTCATCAGCTGCTTGGAGGGAGTAATGGACAAGATGGAGAGACGCATGGACAACTGTTTGACATGATATTATTGTGATATTGCTGTGTGTGTGTCTGTCTGTCCTTGTGTATAAAAAACTATGTTTCTGACAATAAGTCAAAAACCCAGAAGTCAATTTTCCTCGGCACTCACACTGATACATCACACACTCACATATTTCCTTTTCAAACCTACACCATTTCTTTTTCTTCTCCCCTTCTCCTACCTCGCCTTCTTTGTATGTTTCAGTTAGCTGTCTTGTAATGAAATTACGAGGGACATGATGACTTAGGAAGGACATGAATAGTGGCCCACTAACATGATGGCGGTGCCTCAGCCTCAGATGAGATATGAGCTAGCTTGTGTCACACTATCTGGAGAAGAAACTATGGGATCCTCAAACCATGTGAGATTCTCTACATCATATTCAAATCACACGGTTTACTTTTTCTGGGCTTGCAATAAGAAACATTACAGCTTCACTCCCCTCAGAAATGTGCTGTTTATATTGTTACTGTCTAGAATGATGGGAACATTTCTCTGTGCTAAATGTGAGTTTAAGACATGGATGTACTAGCAGGATTTTATGATGACAACTAGTTTGGAAGTCAGTATGTATCTTAAAAATCCAATTACAGACAGGTGGATGGTTACAAATAAAAAGCCTTATATGGGCTAATTTAAAAAATGCACCAATATGTACTGGCACACTTGCCATCTTCAGGGTGTCTTGACATTCTTTCCTCTTTAAATGATACCTTTTCCCAATTAAAGGACCAGTGTTTGTTGGAGACACCAAGTGCCCCTGTTCATATTCTTTTTATTCATTATATTTTAATGAAATCTTTCAGATTTCTTGGCAATTAATAATAAATATTAACACTGCAATCTAGCCTGTGTTTTATGCTTTTTCACTGAAAGAGCACTGACAGGATGATGGCTGGGGCCAGGGGGGTGTCTGAGGCTTCAGTCACATGAAATCTCTCTGAGGGTGGATACACCCGCTCAAGTCTGAACAACAAGTGAGATGTACACAAGGATCTGTGAGATAACTTGAAAAAGGGTTTTAAAAACAGTGAAAGATCCCGTATTTGTTAGTATGAGTCAAGCTTTAGAAACGTGGGGTCCTAATTTTTTCTTAATGCACCGATAGTGGCTTTCATTACACAGTTTACATCATAGATACTCAGTTAAAAAACTGATGACTTGAGTCAAAACACTGTATATGTTGAAAAGGTGCCTTGTTGCACTGTACAGGCCTTAAATAAATCTGTTAAACTTTTGTTAAGACAGAAATTAGTTTACACTTATGTGAGTTGAACTAAGATAAAACTAATATGAATCAGTCCAAGGTCAATCATTACAAATTTAGATCAGATTACAAGCTTTTAAAATTAAATGAAAGCTGCAAAAAATATATAAATATATTCCGAGCAATCGGTTTGATCCTTTGACAGTCAACTTGTCTTGACTCTTCTCTCTAAAGTTATCTCTGACTCCAATGCACTAGATGTCTATCTGAATGCAACCTCTAATCACATCTTCTCATGTCCAAATTCCAGTAAAGTGCTCTATAGTGGAACTCTGATTCCCAGAATTTGCTTTTATCTGTTAAGGATGGACTGGGAGAATAAGTCCAGAAAGAAATTAAAATAGACTGTAGCAGGTAAAATGTAGTGACTTCAGAAAAATGGTTGAATTTCACATTTGTAGAAATTTTCTTTGTTCATGTGCCAGAGCTTAAAAACTAAAAGTCTGGTTCACCAACAATTTGTTCCTCATTCATAAAGCCATAAATAAATGGACTGACTTTTGGACAATAACTGGTTTTCCTGCATAATTGTTAATTATCAAGAGTGCTCTCTGAGGTACTTTCTATGAATGGAGATGGGACACTCTCTTTATCTACTCTCTGGACCTTTTATGGGATTGGTCTCAGTTCTCAAGGATGCAAAAAGGACACTGGGGTTGGTGGGAGGAGGTGCAATGAAAGGGTGGGACACCTACGTCATTACTGCGCATTAGGGTAGGTGGATTTTATGGCAATAGAAGCCAGTAAGCTACACCCCATGCAACCCCCACCCAAGTCCGTCTTCTCTGCCTGACCACCATCAGTGACTGCACCCACTCGAGGTCCAGAGGAGAGAGAGTACAGCACTTAAGGTAATGTAAATAACAAGAGAGAGAGAGCTATTTTAAGATGTTGTCTTTCACTGTGGACATGGAGGGGGACAAAGACGCAAGCCAAGCGATTGTAATTTCAGTCACGTTTTTGGACATGTTCTCGTTCTCTGTCTTTCATCCGGCTTAGCTGAATAGCCTCACTGACAAGACAAAAAAGAGGTTAAACCAGCTGCAAATTCACAGTATATCTTTTTAAAATTATATAGACAAACAAAAACAGAAAAACAATAACAAAAGGCAACTGAAGATCATAACCAGTGATTTTGAAACCCTTAAATTACAAACAGAAAAGAAACAAAATGTAGAAATCATTCAAATGAGCTCAAATAATCATATAAAACAACAATCCCTCAAAATGGTCATAAAATAATTATGCAATATGAAAGCAAAAAAATATATTTCTGAAACAGACTTCTTTTTCTACTCTTCACTATTTCTTTTAGTAAATTACTAGAAAATGCTTCCTCCTAAGCCTTCTAAAAAACAGTGAATGCCATAAATGTTGGTAACCTCTGCTATTAAGCACAACAGAAATCACACAACGCTCATGTTTCAGCATCATGACCAATGAAAAAAAGACAACTAAGAAAAATAAAAAAACACTACACATACCAAACTATAATGAGCACTAATACTAATGCAATGAAATGTATTCTAAAGTGGATTTAAAAGATGTGAAATACCAATTGTATCTTTGTATAAAAGTAGAATATACATATTTTCCTGAAATTATTTTCTTTTTTATTGTTTCATCTTTTATGACATCAAAAATAAACATTTAGACAGCATCTTTTCCATCTTATATGAATAATTTTAACCAGCACTGTTCTCTTTTTTCCTCTTATGCGTTCAAACATACACCACACAGAAAAGATTATCTGCACACTGCTGTTACCAACAAATAAGGAACAGATCTGTAAATCAGAGCCTGACATTACATTGTTCTGCAACAGTTACTGTTTGACTTTGCGAATCACAAACAAAAACACACAAACAGCAGTAGAAGCACACTACTTTGTATAGTGTAGCGGTTACATTCATATTCAGGCCTCTATTCATTGCCGTCTTTTTTCATGAGCTTCATTAAGGCAGTTGAATACAAGATCATCTTAACACTAAACTATACTGATTCATATTTTTAAACAGTTTTGACATTGAAGAGAATACTGGCTAATGTTTCAAGTACTCTAACCTCACCACTGCTTGTATACTGTATTTTCTACACAACATGATACCTGGGTTGTTTCTGTCTTGATTCACAGTCTCAATGTATTTATTGGTAATAACAACATACAGTAGATGAGAGACATGACTGCTTGTAAAAGCTAAACATAACACATTTTGGGTGTTAGTTCATATATCACTTTATGACATCAGAGTTCATTAATCTATAATCAATCAAAATTATTTAAATGAATTAGGTTACACATAACATGCTGTATGTCGGGTTGATCTTACACATTAAAGCTATAAAATGTTGTTTTCTATGATTTCCACTCTCACTCTCAAGTACATTTTTAGAATATTTGCTGTACAGCTGTTTAAGTCTTTGTAAGTGTTATTGCTTTTCTCTAATTAGGACATATTGTATACCCTCCTTCCAAACTACATTTGTGCTGTCAATCATTTTTTATAAATCTCCTTTGCTCCATGTCATATTTCTGATTGGCTATGTTCCTATTTAACCTCTGAATGAATTGTATGCAACATCTCTTACCCCACTCATCTGCAATTGGAAAATGCTTGACATGCACTCATTTCCATTAATCTGACATCTGATTGTGTCAGCCTCATGTCTCAGTGAGCACCCTGGCCACTTTTCCATGAAAGTCACAACACAACAGCAATCTTACTAGGTTGAACAAGTGAAAAATATATATACGATGGACATGGCATCACTACTTCCCTCCAATATGCAAAAATGAAGCCAAAATATCTTGAATACGGCAGCTGCCATCTTGGTTTTTTGCAACCTGATTCTGTGCAGTGGTGTCCAGAAGTGGAGTGACATCATCGGACCACCATCCAAGCCATCAAATCCACTGAAACACACTTCTTTTTATATCATCAGATAAGTTATTAAAAGCAATTGTACCAGAAAAATGAACACTGGCACATACATCAGTGTGATAATATCTACAGAAGTGGGAAAAATATATTTGATTTGTACTTTTGAGTTTTTGGTGTGGCGTATGTCCCATCCGCTAACATAGAGGAGGCGGGCGCCACCAGGGGGCGATTGAGTTTTGGTGGCATCACTTCTGGGAGATCTTAGCCTCTCCATCATTTATACACTCAATGGGATGAACCTAGTAATATTTAGGTATCACTTCAATAGACCACAAGTATAAACTCCATGCAGCTGCATTACCAGATTGGCACACACACGGTTACGGCACACTGACGTAGGATGTTGTTATGTAGAGCAGGTTTACCAGAAACAACAGTCTAGGTGTCTCATGTGTCTTGGTGAGTTGCTTCGCTCACTAAAAACACAATGTTTTGGAGAACCCTCTAAACAGCAATAACATGAGCAAAAAATAAATAAATAAATTCTGTTGTAGTTAGAAAACTCTGGCCTCACATATTAAACGTCACTTAATATACTGTCCAGTCTTTCAATGAGCACAAATATTGCATGTGTACAGTGGCTCTCTCTGTCACAGTCATGGGTATGTCTGAATGAAGCTGTGAGGAACATTAATGTAAACGTGACCTATGTCTGAAAAGACAGAAAGCTGTTGCTGTATGAGACTGATGAAGCTAGAAATGACATATCCCATGTCTGAAAAGGAGCTATGAGTTTTCTTTATCTCCGAGTTAGTTTTACAAAAATGATGAAAATACAGAACACCCAACTACCTTTAAGTACTATCTATATGTATGAACATATGTATGTACTGTAGTGATATGTTGCAGACAGACAGGCAGCTTCATGTCTGGACAAACAGCAAGCTGCTACACTATAAAGCTACATCCTGACATGTGGCTCGTATCCAAACACCACAGGCGTGAAGTGGTACTTTGTAGTCATAAATGACAACATTTGCTTTATGTCTCTTGTATATCTTGTTCTTTTGAAGTATATTTGACACAGTTTTCCCACGGTTTATGTGTCGTTTTATTCACATCCTGAGATTGTCATTCTTCATCGTGCTGGGAAGAGTCAGGGCTGGAATCTTCCTCCTCCACCGTTTCTGTTGGCAGTGTGTCACGGCGCACAAAAGTAGCCGCTAAGGTCACACTCAGCCGTGGTTTGACAGACGCAATCTCTGATAATCCGATGTTGTTGCCACGAGTTACAAGTGTTGTCCTGTCCATAATCTCTCCACTGTGCTTGGACACCACTGCATTGAGAAAGTCATATTTGTGTGAAATCTTGCCGCTCTCAAACAGGTACTTGGCCAGGTAGGAGAACACAGCGTTACCCAGAAAGGAGGCAAGCATAGAGACGGTCTTAAAGGGGAATTTCTGAATAACCACTTCCTCCATTTCTCCAGTCATGTGATGCATTCTCTTCTCAGTGGTCCAGCCAGGGTAATAAATGAAAGGAGGCAATTGCAGGTAAGGTTCACCTCCACCTATACGTAGCACCAGGCCAAAGAGGTAGGCAGCCACTGACCCATATGTGTTTGTACCTTTGACAAATAGCACACTGAGCAACTGGGGGAAGATAATGACATAAACAAGGTCTGAGCTCAGGTACCAGAGGCCATAAACTGTCCCAGTTACCAGCGCCATCAATGTTGCAAGGCCACCGAATACAAAGATAGTAATACGCATCACCCACACAATCTCACGGTCAGACGCCTGAGGAGACAGAGAAGAGTCTAAAACGGACTGTGACATACAAAGAACGGCAAAAAACAAGCCAAAAAAGTTAGATGACTTTGGTGCCTGAACAGAAACACACATGTACTTACAGACTGTCGAAAGGTGAGCTGGTAGATGTTTCTTGCAAACATAGAACTTGCTGAAAGGATGGAAGAGTCTGCTGATGACATGACTGCTGCAGACACTGCACCCAGGCCAAAAAAAGAGACAAAGGGTGGGCAAAGGTGCTGGAGCACGATGGGTAGAATCATGTCGGTTTGATTCTTCTCTCTAGGAGGAATGGCACCATAAGTTGTCTGGTTCCAGTCTGACCAAGGAAAAGATTTAACATTTAAGAAGACATCAAATCTGCACTGTAATGTAACATAACGAAATAATGACATGCCTTCCAAAGAAACCTTACTAATGAAATACCACTGTTTACAAAGATAAGTAATAACTTTGAAATGATAACTCATAGAAGAAGGCAAAACTGTTGTATACTTACATGTTCACAAAGGAATTTGATGCCTAAAAATCTGGAGATCAAACCACTAATTTGATCCCTTGCATTCTTGTAATCTAATATTTACAGAAAGAGCAGCAGGCTGCTATTAAACGGCTGCTGCTTCATTATGGATGAGGTGAACCAGCTGCTATTTACCAGGCTCTCTCAGATCTAAGGGCACCATGGACCCATCTAGAGCCTTCCCTCCCAAACACACACACACACACACACAGACTGTGCATATGCATGCTTATTTGAGTTCTCTAACCTGTGGAGGCCCCAATGGCTCCAATGAGAACAGAGGGCACAGCCATGACGAGGCACCCAAAAGCAGCCAGAAAGGAGAGGACCTGGGCGTAGGTAGCCGAGGAGGCAGAGAGAACTCTCTGGAAATACACCTGCCAGGGAATTCCTCCAAGCATCTGTAGCACAGTTACACACCAGTGAATAACACAGAAATGAGGCCCAACATAGTCATGCCAGGTCAATTTTATTTAAATAGCTCAAACATTACTTTTTCATCTATGGACTTTACAAACTTTGCAGCATAGTGTACACCACCCTCAACTGTTTCTCACAAAGAAAGAGTCCCAGTACTCTTCAGAACAGACATACTCTTGTTTCTTCAATTCTTTTGTCCCATCAACAGAGACTATTGCATTTTATGGCTGCAACAAACAATGGCTATCTGTATCGAATTGTGAGAGTAATCAATTTGTGTTATCTACAAAAGAACTTAAATAAACATCACAGGGTACCAGAGAGAACATTTGAAAGGCTGTAACTAATCAAACATTCTCAGCATCATGGCATTTGGTTCATCAGTATAAACAGACCTAATTCCACTTTGAGAAAGTGCAAAATGCAAAAGTATCTCAATGAATTAAATTTTGATAAAGTGAGAGAAGAATAACTTGTGGTTACTGCACCAGGAGACAGAGGTTGTCGATCCAGACCCAGGTGTAGCTCTTGTGGATACTGCCAATCCAAGGTGCCTGGTACACCTGCTTCACTGCTGTTACAGTGATGTCTGACACCGCAGGGTTGACCAAAGCAAAGGGGACACTGATCCACTGTAGACATCCAGAATCAAGTACAGCATACATTTATAAACCCAGACGTTTAAGGGTAACTGTAACATCTAGCACACAATCTGAGACAAAATAAAATCAAACTCTACTGATCCCAGGAGCTAAATTTATCATTACAGTAGCCTGAGCAGATGAACAGAGAGACAGATAGGAACAGAATACAAATAAATAGAAAATATCTACATGAAAAATCTAAGGTAGTATGCACTTTTCTAAAAAAGTGGTAGCAGATACACTATATTTAGAATTTATATATATACACATTAGTAAAGGTGCAAAATAGATATAATACCATTCAGCTCAATGTGGAAAAATAAAAATATTCAATGAACAATGTATTGTAAAAATGAACAGCTCCACAATTCAGTTTTTTCTCTTGTAGAAACATTTGCAGTCTGACATCACGTCACTGCAGCGTGACAGGAAAACCTACTCAAAAGCAGGATTTAATTACACTACAGATCAATATGAACCTACCAGTCCAACAAAGATACAGAAGAGCTGCACGACATCAGTGTAAGCCACAGAGTACAGTCCTCCAACCAGGGTGTAAAAGATTGCAATGAGTGCTGAGATCACCACTGACATCTTAATGTTAATGTCCACAATGACACTCAGTGTGGCACCTAAGGTCATGAGCGAACATATGAAAGGCCATTATGTTCACTCCAACATCATACAGACAAAAACTCATACACATTTTCCTCTTAACGGACACAAGAAGCTTTGATTTTGTCGTAGACGTCAACTCACCGAGGGCAGACAAGATGGCAGCAGACCAGAAGATCTCGCCCATGAGTGCAGGTATGAAGAGGAGGCCACCCATGCGTTTCCCATACAGCTGCTGGAAGGGGTCCAACATTGTGACATAACCTCG